CAATTTACATGATATTCAGAACAAACAATATGTTTCATTTCCAGCCCTGGCTCCCACTCACTCACTGGAACACACCTGTAAGCAGATTTAAAAGAAAAGTTAAGATTGCAGGAAAATAGCTGGCTTGTGTTTGGAGACACAAGATAGCTGTAACATATACCTGACAATATATCCCATCACGCTTAGTAGAGAAGCCCACTAAAGACCATACAGAGGAAGGAGATTTTACACACCACTGCCATTCTCAAGAAGGGAAGTCAGCAGATACACAAACCAGCCAAACATGCCTGAGGGAAGTTAGTGGAGGAGATTCACGCTGAGCCAGAACCACAGACATCAGCACAACTTCAGCTTCATGGAATTCAGTGAATTTAGACCAATGCCGACAGCCAAACGCCTATATAGTCATGAAGAAATTCTGATTCGGGGCAGTCGGGTAAGGGCAATAGGCTGTGATTTAAACTGAACATGATGTAGGCTTATTAGTTGTTAACAAAACAGTTTCGAAACCTCCCGGTTCTTCACAATCATTACACTTCCTTTTATAGTACAGAAACTGTACACTTTTTCTGGAACATTCTCCCTGTGAGGACTATTGTAGGCGATTATGCTGGTTGAAGGGACATTCTTGTTCACAATCCCCACAGAAATCGCTCTAGGGCTGTCTGTGTGTGGGGGGGGGAGGGAGGGGGCTGGCTTCACAGCTGCGTCCCCTCCCTTTTGTGGGGAACAGCAGAAATGGCATTAGTGTGGCTTCAGTCCAATTCACTCCAGTCCAGTTCCTTCTCCAGCCAGGTCTTAGCCAACAGACAGACACGTGCAGGTCCAGGGACACCCCCCACCCCGAAACCTGGGCCTGATCCTCCCTCCGCAGAACCAAGCGATAAAAGGACGAGGTCCCGAAAGCCCATTATTGCGTGTTGGGACTCCCAGGGACGTTGTTCTAGACCAGCGTTTCTCAACCTCGACCATTTGAAGGCATGTGGACTTCAACTCCCAGAATTCCACAGCCAGCAATGCTGGCTGTGGAATTCTGGGAGTTGAAGTCCACATGCCTTCACATGGTCAAGATTGAGAAACGCTGCTCTAGACCGCGCCGAGAGGCTGCAATTCTATACAGGCGTGCCTAACAATCAGCCAAAGGACCGTAAGGAAAGGGAAAAAAAAAAACGCGCGAAAAAAGCGGAAAGTCCGAAGTTGGAGTCGGCCGCCTGCGCGCCCTCGCCGGTGGAGACGCCTTCGCTCTGAGGGGAGGGGGGGGCGGAGCGGTTCTTTTGAGAAGTTCCCGGGCCAGGGAGAAGGCGGCAAGCGAAGGCGGCCCCATTTCGAAGTTTTGGGGCCCGGTTTTTCTTCTCCAGCCCCCCCTTTAAAGACGCCGGCGTTTCTCCTTCCAGGGCGGCCACGGGAAGATAGAAATGTAAACTTGTCGCGGCCCGTGAGGCGCTCGGGATCCGGGTCCCTCGCTGCCTTTTCAAGCCCACGAAGCCTGCGCCAAACGCACCTTGATTGGGGATCGGAGCGGGCTGACCCCGGCGCCGCCTTGGCGACATTTGTCCGCGGTTAGAGGCTTGCCCAGGGGTAGGCAACCTTGGCTCTTTTATGACTCGTGGACTTCAACTCCCAGAATTCCTGAGCCAGCCAAGCTGGCTCAGGAATTCTGGGAGTTGAAGTCCACGAGTCATAAAAGAGCCAAGGTTGCCTACCCCTGGGCTTGCCGGTCCCCAAGCGCCGAGAAAGAATGACAGCTCGCTTTTTTTTTTCTCTCTTCTTCTTCTTCTTCTTCTTCTTCTTCTTCTTCTTCTTCTTCTTCTTCTTCTTCCTTCTTCCTTGTTCTTCTTCCTTCTTCTCCTTCTTCTCCTTCTTCCTTGTTCTTCCTTCTTCCTTCTTCCTTGTTCTTCTTCCTTCTTCTCCTTCTTCTCCTTCTTCTTCTTCTTCTTCTTCTTCTTCTTCTTCCTTCTTCCTTCTTCTTCTTCTTCGGGAGCGGCGCGCTCGGAGGGCCGAGCTATGCTAAGACACGCTCCCCGTTTCTGAGAGTACCACACCAACCGAGATCACCCAAGGCAACTCTGAATTTTTATTTTTATTTTTTTTAAAAAAAGGTTGCTTATTTTTTTAATGCAACATATCTACACAGAAGGAATCTGGAGGCCACGGGGGGGGGGGGGACCGCGCAGATTGTTAAGAGACCCCGCCTGGCTGCAGCTGCAAGAACCGACTTTCCGAAAGCGGCGGGATCATCGCTCAGCCAAAGGGCTCTCCGGGGCCACCAGCTCTCCAGATCGCTCCGGCATCGGGTGGCCAGCGGAGACCAGCCGGCCCTGCCGGCTTCCTCGGAATTTAGCGCTCTGAATTCGGGGCGAGCAAGCGGGAACGGGACCCTCGGCCTTTCTAACGTTCAAGCGGAGGGTGCGGTGGAGGAGCGCGGCTCTATCCAAACGGCGCCCAGCGGGACTTTTCCCTCCCTTGCGCCGATCCAGGGACGGGATGTGCGGCCGCAGAGCCTCGGGGAAAGGAAGGGAAAGAGCGGTGGGATTCAGCGGCGCCTTCCTTTGCAGGGGTCGTATCAACACCTCGACTCCAGCACAAGAAATCGCTTAGAAACCGGTGTGTTGCACGCAGAGTATATAGACACAGGCACGTTTCCCTAGGGTGCAGGGTGGAAAGGGAAAAGCGACGAGCATTAGGAGAAAATCGGCGTTATTTTAATGCTGCACGGACTCCAGGCGAAACGAGGTGATAAAAGTTAGGTTGCAACCCAATTCGTTCTTAAAATCGCGCTAAGACGCAGCTACTTAAAGGAAGGAGGCTACTGAAATGAATTGAAGGGGACCTTAGTCTAAATACGGCCAGCGCTGAAATGCCTTTATACCATCTTTCTCTGACCTGTTGACCTTCAAATAGGTTGGATGTCAGTTCCCATAACTCTCATAAAAGCCATGCTGCCTGGGAATGATGAGGATGGGGGATCTAATACATCTGGAAAAGTCCAGGAAGACTAACTTTCTTACTCCCGTACCATAAAATTCAAGAATTACCAGTTTTTTTTCCAAAAAAGTAAAGGCTAATATTAAGGCAAAGCTGTCTGTTCAACTAATTCTACTTTAAAAATGCATAAAATGATTTAACTTAACTGTAACTGTAATAAATGAATGACAAATCAGTCTGATTTTGTTCTCAGCATTGCTATTGTTCCATCTTTAAATACATTTTCTTTGTATTTAAAGCTGACAACAGGAAACAGATAGGAGGCAGCAATTCACTACTTCTATATTATCTGCTGTGATATACCTGCAGAATACAAGAAACTTATCTGGATTTCTAATATAGAAAAGAGTTGAAAATGTATAGACCATTTTAGCTTGTGTTGTAGAAGAAGCCATATACTGGCCTCCATCTTCTTTGGAAACATATGTCAAACATATCCTGACCAGCCAGCTTCCATCCAAAGCTGATTGCGTTTTGATCACAGCCATACGCAGTTTAAGGTTCCAAGGAATTATTTTTAAAAACCTTTAATCTGCAAACATTTACAGAGGAAGGGAATCCCTCGTGGCCATATATAAGCTTAATTGTGTCTGTAAGGATGTGAACAGAAATTTCAAATGAAACTATTAACACAATACATAAATCAAATCAATTTAGGTTCT